GGATAGGGATCACATGGGGCATTTTTTTTCCTGAGCTGTATGTAGGTTAATATAACTAAGAAATGTTCTTTGCAAATAGAGAACCACAGGAATTTTTTAGTCTTCTTTAGTTACTCATCTCTTGGGCTATCCTCAAGGAAATTTGTAACAGAGTACTTGGCACGTGCTCTAAGATGACACTTTCTGCTCCCATTAAGATTTACAGCCTCAGAAACCTTATACAGGGTTGTTATGAGTCAGAATTTACACGACGACACACAACTACCACCACCAGGGTCTTTTAGTTGACAAGTCTAGATGATACTTTTTCAGACCACTTGATAATCTTGATTGTTCTTAAATAGTCTTCAGTTATCTTGGCTTACAAGATGATCTACTTTCTTGTGTTGTGTTCGATTTCCAGCATCATTGATACCTGTTTCATTTCACCTTAGTCCACTGTTCTTCTCATTCCATATCATACCCTTTCTGTATATCTTCTAGGCTTCAGATAGCAATCAACAATATACTGTATGTGTTTCTTAATATTTGGTCTGAAATCTAGATCACTGTTCTCAGTTTCAGATTCATCTGTGTAACTGCTTGCTGGATGAGAACATCTGTATGCCCATGGATAACAGAAACTTCATAATTCAGATAGTGAGCTGACTGAAATTATTATGAAGCTAATGGTTCCTCCTATTCAGATAATCCTCAAAATTAAAAGCTAGGTAGCCATTCTGGACTTTCCAATTTTTTAACTGTTACTTCTCAGATCTGTCAATCAGGTATTATACCTAAATATCTTGCCTTCTCATCTCTTCTGTGTTGTATCATGTCTACCTCTGTGGCTGTGGTTCAAGTTCTCATGATCTCTCTTGAGCTGCATCACCTTGTCTCCTTGACCCTGTCCCTGCTTCCCCCTAATGCAACTTCCACATAGCTGAACGAGTGATATGCTTAAAATTCATATCTCGTTATAAGTGTTGTTAAGTGCCATCAAGTCAGTTCTGACTCATAGCAACTCTGTATAGGGTTTCCAAGGAGCAGCTGGTGAGACTGAACTGCCTTGAGGTCAAGTACTTATCCTACAGCACCACACCTGGATTCGTTATATACACTATACATTATCGTGTATCCCTGTCTAAAATCCTTCCAGAGGCTCCCTGCTAGTCCCACGATAATGTCTAAGCTCTTTGATATGGCCCATAAGATTCTCCGCTCAGTCTTTCTTTCCTCTATCTTCCTTACACCCTGGTCAATAAAGTACTCCAGGAATAACAAATTGATTATAATTTATTTCTCCCCACCCCACCCGCAGCATAAAAACATTCTGTTTTCTATAGGTATCTCCTTATCTACTTTGTAGCTGTTGTTAGGTGTCATCAAGTTTGTTCCTACTGATATCAATTGTGGTAAAGATTCTGTGTTAACCTGATTGGCCCAGAATTCTCAGTGGTTTTGCAGTTAAGACATGGTTATATCCATAATGCAATCTAATATAATGTAATTAACTCTATGATGAGGTCTGCCATGAGCAACCAATCAACTGCAAGGAAGTTTCCTTGGGGGTGTGGCCTGTTTCCAATGTATTTTACACTCAGACAAAGCTTGCATGATTTCTCCTGCATCTGGGTTTTGAATCTGGTTCATTGGCCTACCTTTGGTTCTTTGGACTTGAATCAGTATTCTACTCTTATACCTTCCTGTCCTGGGATTAATCAGCAGAATGCAGCATGCCTTCTTACTGGCTAGACCTGCCTTCCTGCCTGCCTGCCTGGCATCTGATCTGCTTATCTTGGTTCATTTGACCTGGACTTGGGACTCTTCAATCTCTGCAATGTGTGAGCCACTTCCTTTATATAAATTTATACATGTATATGGAGTCCTGGTGTGACACTGTGGGTTAATGTGCCTGACTGCAAAACCTTTTGAACTGCAAGGTCAGCGGTTCAAGCTCACCAGCTGCTCCTCAGAAACCCTACACAGGGTCGCTGTGGGTGGTAATCGACTCGACTGCACTTAACAACAACAACAACATATATACATACATACATATATACATATTTATATATGTTTGTGTGTGTGTGTGTGCTGTTAAGTGCCATTGAGTTGGTTCCAACCCATAGTGACCCTGTATAGTTTCTGAGGAGTGACTGGTGAGTTTGAACCACCGATCTTACTGTTAAAACTGACTTTGCAGTCTAGCGCATTAACCCACAGTGCCATACCAGGACTGGTGTGGTGCTTGAGAAGACAAAGTAAAAATTATAACAAAAGGTGCAAAGACCTGGAGTTTGAAAACCAAAAGAACAGGTTCAGCATTTCTCAAGCTGAGGGAACTGAAGAAAGAATTAAAACCTTGACTTGCAGTATTTTGAAGGATTCTCTAGGCAAATTATTGCACTATGCAGAAAGCATCAAAAGAAGATACATAGAGAAACTATACAAACAAAGTAGTCTGTGCTCAACTATTTTCAAGAGGTAGCCTATGATCAAGAACCAATGATCCTTAGAAAAGAACTCCAAGGTACACTGAAGGCATTGGCAAAGAACAAAGCACCGAGAATGCATGGAATACAAATTGAAATCTTTCAACAACTGATACAACACTGGGGCACTTACTCATCTAAGCCAAGAAATTTGGAAGACAATTACCTGGCCAACTGACCTGAAGAAATCCGTATTTGTGCTCATTACAAAGAGAGATTCCCCAATTCTATGTGGAAATCATTGCTCAATAACATTGATACCATATGCAAGTAAAGTTTTACTAAAGTTAACCCAAAAAGAAGAAAAGCTCCAATGAGATGAATTGGCTCGGTAACAGCAGTGATGGGCTGAGATGCGGCAATGATTGTGAGGTTGGTTAGCCCAGGATCAGGAAGCATTTTGTTCTGTTGTGCACAGTGTTGTTATGAATTGATACTGACTCAATGGCACCTAGTAACAACAACAACAAATAGATCTCCAATTGGTTGCCCACGTAGTTGTCTTCCAAATTTTTTGACAGAGAGAAGTGAGAGCCTCGAGTGCTGCCTCAGCCTGTTGAAACAATTCAATTGC